TTGATAAATTAGTTTGACGCATAAAATCTGATAAAGCCCGGCTTTTAAAAAGCAAAGCGGCTATTGATGCAACACAGACACTTACGATCCTGCGCCAGGGTAGATTCATCTTGCTCTTTTCCTTTCTGAGCTCCTACCATTAGCTGAGTCAGCAACTGGGGTTGGGCGGCGATGAGAGCTTGGAGCTCTTCCGCCTCAAGTTGGAAGATCAATAACTTGACCAAAGAGATCCATGGCGGTGTGATCCAGCTGCAATGCTATTGCGAGGAGACAATAATGCAAAAGGTTTGTGCTGGGATGGTTGTTCGGGCAACAGCCCTGTCGTGGATACCGGTGCTGTTGTTCAAGCGGTTGCCTGTTGTTGTAACCGTACTAGCTAGTAGTACTACTCAGCAGCAGCATGAATGGGCTAATAAGTATTCTGGTCGCTGATACCGGTAGGCAGGTAAAGTACGGTACAGGAAGGCAGTACTACACTCCTCACTCACACTTAAGATAAGTGAGTTTAAGATACCGAGTACTCAACTTTTCAGAAATGTTTAGATAACCCAGACACTCAGATTTCCCAAACCAGTAAGATAAGCAACGAGTACTGAGGTGTCGAATCCTAAGCTAGTACTAATACTATGTGGGGTTTGAATGCAGCTAGTACCCACTATCTTCCACATCACTATCTACATCCAAGTACTCCAAATCCGCATTTAGGGTGCCTCTCTACCACAACATCTTTTGTTTCATCAATTTTGACTTGGTACCTTTTCCTTTGGTGGTGTCTCCTCACTGTCTGAGGGTATGTTTAGTAGTAGGGGTATGTGACAATAGCTTCTAGTGGCAATAAGATATGAAAGATACTGAGATTGGGCTGCTTGTAAGATAATAACTCAGTGTTCCTGTGGCTGAATTGGTTAATTAAGATACCTCCAGTAGTGGATCAAGAATAGAGTTATCTTATTGGTGAGGTAGGTGTGTATTGCACGTGTAGCCCCCAAACGGAGGGGTATGGTACGGTACGGTACGATACCGCCGTCGGGAAAGATCCAAGAAAAGATCCAGACTCCTCAGTAATAAGTGTCCCAGTCTTGGATCCGCAAAGATCATAAATCTCAGACAGTTCTCAAAGCAATAATCCTGCACACCCAGCAGCCAGACACAGCCGCCGCTCCACGATGGTCAATGGCAAGACCGTCAGACTACTACTCCACTTGTCCAACTCTAGCCGAAGATGAACAGAGGCGATGAATGTCAACAACAGCAACAGGCCACCGCAGCGAGCCTCTCGGCAGCGGCCGTGCGTTCTTTCCTCATTGGGAAGATACTTTTGATCCCAAAACTGAAGAAGCTCAAGGCGGCAGGCATGTTCCAGCCCGAGGACCATGCGAGCAGAGTGAGCCATCGCACACTTCGATTTGGTCGCATTCCCTCCAACGCCTTAAATTATGGTGGAATTTATGGATCGGGAGTCCTCTTGTTTGAGGGCCACGCTTGGGCTCTCCGAAAGCTACAAGCTGCAGAAGCTGATGAAGAAACGGCCCCGGCCGAGCAATCCGCATTGGCAGGATCGTTTGGGGGATTCTTGTATGCTATTACCTCCACTCCCGTGGTGTCCCTCTTGCGAATGCCGCCGTATGCCAATCAGTCCCTGCTGGAATGGTCCAAGATGGCAATCCTCAAACCACTACAATACACCAGTATCAGGGACTGTGGCGGCTTTGCCCTCTTCTTTGGCACCTACACTTTCTTACGCACAAAATTCAATGAATATCACTCTTCAGCAGACATCAAACACTTTTGCACACCATTGGAAGCTATGGACAAATATCTACGTGCCCATGATGATTCGGCCATGGATGCCCTGACCAATATTGGCACGGCATTGGTATCGGGGGCGGGAGCAGGAGTCCTTACGTATCTTTGGCGCAGCCCGTGGGATACGTTGTACAAGAGAAGCATGGGATGGCGCCCAGTGGATGCTCCGCTGCTTTCCAAGGCAAGATTCCTGACATCGCCTCGTGGACTCAAGGCAGTCGTCATTTCAGGAACGACCTGGGCTGTCTATGAAGCTGCTATTCTCGCCGTCGCGTTTCTAGAAAAGAAGGGATATCTAGAATGACGATTCACAGTGACGAGGTGCACACAAGAACACGATCATAGAATAGAAAGGAAGCATCATGCGTTGTGGGGCCAACAATTAGTTTAGAAATCTCTGGATGTCTCCTTGTGAGCGAAGAGATGGTGTCGGAAGGTACCAGGTACTGTCCTCTTGCTTGATCGAGGATATCGCACTGATGAAAAATTCACGGTTAGGATTGTCGAGACAGAAACTTGCTGAGATCCCCAACTCCTTGCCTTGGTTGTTGATGCCAACAAATCAGCCTCTGTTGGAATGCTCTTTCGCAGTTGTCCGAAGTCAAGAACTCAAGCAGTTGGAAGATTTGTCGATTGTTTGTTGTTGTTGAACCCAAGCTCAGGTATTTTGATGCAACTCAGTCAGCATTTGAGAAAAGTCAAGAATTTCTGTACGTACTCTTGAGATCCGCTCATTTATTCCTACGTGGATCCCGCAAAGCCAAGCCCTTTGGCAATGGTGTCGGTCCTCAATTTAGCTCTCCTGATCCCATCCCAGGAACCTCTAGAGACCTAGACTTGTCCCGAATTTCGTCTCTCTTTTGCCCAATTTTCGAGGATGCCTTCCTTTCGAGTGTTTTGCCACCACATCAGCCCTAATTTGCGCTTAGATTTGGTGCCAACTGTTGATCATGCTCTAACTAAGCTAATCCTGGCCCTCGCTGCCTTCGGTAGATAACTACCGTACCCTACGCCGATGTCATACACTAAACACCCTTACCTGTATCTGATCAACTGTTAAGATTTTCTACTTGGTAGACTATGCTCACTCGAGTATGGGAGATCAAACAGCCTTTCCTGCGTGACACATTTTGGAGGATTTGCGGAACCTCGTACTACTAGTTAGGTGTACCGGTTCAAGTCATTATGTCACTTTCCATGTCTGAGTGTTTAAGTGACTGCAGAAACACGATTTATGAATACACAGTGATCGTTGCACCTCGAGCAACAGCTACTTCCGCTCACAATTTGCAGCCGACAGGTTCTTTTTGGTCTGAATGTCATTCTGTTTGCCACTGCACCTATGCATACCGGTAGCCAGCAATAACTTGGAGACCGATGAAATTCAAGCAGCAGGAAAAGAAGCGTCCCAATGATGCGAGTGGCATCGATTATCTTGGACCACGCCCATCCTCGTTAAGGCGAACGCAGGAGACGACAATCACTCCTGGTCGTCCTCGCGCACTAGTGTCATTCTCGCCATGCTGCAATCTCCTATCATCGTCCACCCCCCTGCAGTCACAAACGCCAATGTCACAACTCACACAGCCACTGTACAGCCCAGTGGATCTAACAGCAGGACTTGACGAGCACGAGAACCAGGTTGAGCCGTTGATTGCTCTACTGGAAGACGGGCGCAACCCTCCCAAGGAACAATCAATTGAGATTCGAGAGGACACCGTGGCAATCGGAAGTGATGACACACGCTGCAGAATTTTTATCCGTAGCAAGCATAGGCGTGTGAGTCGTGTACACTGTGAGCTTTCCTTCTTCGATGGAAGATGCTCTTTAACAGCAAAATCCAAGTGTTGGGTTCTCTCATACAACAACAACCAATGGACACCGATCAAAGCTGGGCGCGGGTTTCCAATTTCACATCGGAGTCGGTTGAGGTTGGTATGTCCTGGTTACAAACAAGAGGATGCTAAGGATGGTGGAGTTGAGTATATTGTCCATCTCATGGCCACGATCCCCGGCGGCAACCCTGGATCGCATTCGTTTGATCTCCAGTATCTCCATCTACTGGAACAAATTGAGCTCCATGGCGTCTTGCAGACAGCCAATAAAAAGGGGCCGAATCGTGCGCTACCAAAAACGTTTCCATTTGACATTGACTTGCATGATCCCACAGGACAAGATCGGAACCTACTGCCAATAACAAGCCTTCGTTCCCTATATGGTGGACGCCCAGCACTTGTTGAGGCTTTGTGGTATCTACGTGGAGAGGATCACATTACCTATCTTCAAGACAACAATTGCCCATTTTGGGACCGGCAAGCAACCAAGAAAGATGATGTTGATAATTGGCTTGGCTTGAACTATGGATTGCTTACAAATTTTCCACAGCCTAATGGCCAAGGGACATACAATCAGTTAGAGGAAGAGGCCATCAAGCCTCTATGCAAGCATGGCTCCAGTTCCCGAAACATGACTTGCTCCCTGTTCAAGCCTGGTGAAGAAACAGTGCAAAGAGCTTGTACATCTAGTATTCAATTCTCTGTTTCCACAAATAACAATGTTGAGTCATTGAACCTGACTATCAATCAACGTTCGTCTGACACAATTGTTGGGCTTCCTCATGATGTAGTGGTATGGAGCATAATCCTTCATTTGGTACGGAGGGAAGTGTGGATTCGGTCACAGCGCAAATTGCATGCTGGAACTTTGTCCTTTGCCATAGTTCAAAATTGTGCTCATGTCTACCAAATCAATGATGGTGCCTTGCATGAGATTCTGCAACGAAAACCCAAACCTGAGTGCCAACCATATTTGGTCATAGATGATGACAAAAGTGGAATCTTTGATCTGGCAGCGGCCAAAAAACCTCCTGTGTCGTTGAGGATTGCAAAGTATGATCACTACCACCCAAGCATTAGGTTGCAGGTAGCTGAGGACAAGAAGGGATATCAGCAAAAATAGGATTCTTTGCTTGTTAAGCTTTTCGCTGTGCATTTCCAGCCGTGCAGCTGTATGACTGAATATTGTATGGTTTGGAGACTTGAAGAATTTGAGGCGTCAATTTGTGTGGTGTGAAGTTTTTCTCTAGCTCTTTGGAGATGAAGTAGCAACTGGCTTCTTGAAAATAGAAACAGCATCCATGCTTTCAAGTATGTGTCGTTGCAGCTAGTAGCTATTTGTGTTAACCAGTGTTCGCAAAGTTGCGTCGAACAGCTAGCCAATCCGTAGCCTCGTTGCGATAGCACTGTACCTTGGAAGAAATGCTCCCAAGGTATGTGAGCGTTCGGAGGGATGCTGGCGTTTCCTGACGTTCGTTCATAAGTGTCATTTGATGTGTTGTTGCAATGGCCGAATGACACGTTCTTCGCGTATCAGCATGCCCTGGAGCCCTGGATGTCTACGGCGGGGACACAACCCAGCTGGCAACATGACAAGAAGACAAACTCAAAGATAGTAGTAGGTATATTATGGTATATCAGTTGTGCTGAGTCCCGTGATAGGGTCGAAACATGGGCCTCCACACCCAGAACTCGACTCTGACAGGGAGACTTGTGTCTTTCACAAAAGCTCTCACTTCTTGCTGTTTGATATGATAGATTGGATGACAATGGATGACAACGCAGCCCCCTTTGCGTGAGGTTTTTGGGGTTGCCAAAGCCCACCGCCAGCCACCAGATTTAGAAAACCCTAAACCGAGCGTTAGGACTGCACGTGGGTACTGGTACCGAAGATGGGTGTTCGTGTGGCCACGTGTCCAGCAACGCCGAGAAACAAACGGTCGGCGGCAACAACCACGCTCAACACTCTTATCGCTCATTCTATTGCATCGCACGGCAACAAAGCAACAAAGGTAGCACGCTTATCGAACCATGTCGGGAAAGCAGAATGATAGTAAATCTACAGACGTTTTGATTCCGAAGGTAACTCCTCCTCATGTCGAAAGTTGCAAGAAGCGAAAAGGCGAGAGACCTCAAGATGACACAAAGCATCTTCGTCCTTCCACGGCGAGACGCCGTCTTATCAGTAATGACAATGAATCGGAAACGAGGGCAAATAGAAATCCCGGTTCTTGCCATGTCGGCACTCAGGAAGCCTGTTTGGTGCCCACAGACAGCGATGCATCGTCGGCGATCCCATTCTCCCAGCAGCTCACGCAGCCAGTTGCGTATACCCAAGACCTATCTGCAGGGCTCGACGACCACCAGCAACAGCCGACTTTGCTTGGATTCTTGGAAGACAATAATGACCCCAGTACAAAGAAGGAGATTCGCAAGGACACTGTGGTCTTGGGACGCAGCCATTCCGCTGACGTTACTATCGAAAACGAGAGTGTGAGCCGAGAACACTGCAAACTTGTCTTCTCTCCAGACAGCGGAACATGTTCTCTGGTCCCATTAAAAACGTGTTGGATTAAACAAGATAACCGATGGTATGCGGTAGCAGAAGACCGGACGTCCTCACTGCCCCATCAAGGACGATTTCGTTTGCTCCCGCCAGGAAAGGCCGCGGAAGCCAGGTGCGAAGGGGTCGACTTCACCCTTTTCTTGACAGCAACGGAAACAGAAGAACCACCTGCTCCAGGATCACATTCCTTTGATGTACAGTATCTGAAGCTGCTCAGATCTATAGAGCAAGATGGTGTCGGGAAGGTCAACAAGAAAGGTCTCAACCGAGCACTGCCGAGATCTTTTCTCCTGGATATTGATTTGGGAGACCCTAAAGGCGAAGATCGAAGTTTGCTGCCGGTGACATCTCTCCGCAGCCTCTATGGTGGACGTGGTGCTCTCATTGAGGCTTTGTGGTATCTACGTGGTGAAGATCACATCCAATTTCTACAACACAACAAATGCCACTTTTGGGACAAGCAGGCAATCAAGAAAGGAGATGTGGACTGGGTTGGATGGAGCTATGGCTTGCTTACCAATTTCCCACAGGCAAATGGAGATCAAAAGGGAATCAATCAGCTGGAGGAACGAGTGATCAAGCCTCTGTGCAAACATGGCTCGTGTTCCCGAAACATGACTTGCTCATTGGATAAGCCAGGAGAGGAAACTGTGCAAGGAGCTTGTACATCCGGAATACAATTCTCAGTTTCAGGCCACTCCACAGAAGAAGAGGCCTTGAACCTGACGATCAATCAACGATCATCCGATGTTATGATGGGGCTTCCTCATGATGTAGTGGTTTGGAGCATCATCCTTCACTTGGTACGACGAGAGGCTTGGATCCGGGCCAAACGAAAGCTTTTGGCTGGCAAGTTATCCTTCGTAATTGGTCAAAATGCAGCGCACGTGTACCAGCTTAACTGGGGATCTATGCAGGAGATTCTGGAGCGAGAACCCATCCCTGAATGCCAACCATATCTGGTGGTGGAGGATGAAGACTTGACCAACCCACGTGGCATCTTTGATTTGGCAAAGAACTACAACCCGAAATCACTGCGAATCTGTAACTACACAAAGGCCTCGTACCATCCAGCAATCACATTGGAGCAGGCCGTGGAACATGAGTAGCTTTCCCGTTGATATAGTCTTACCTCGATGGAAAGGAGGAACGTTTAACTATAGCTTTTCTTTTGCTTATCCACATCCATATCTAGCTACTTGACTATCCTTCCTGTCAAATCTACGACGAGGCGGAAACGAGGAACATTCGAAACATTCGTAGCTTTTGTGTTGCTTGTCAATGTCTAGTAGCTAGAACTGCTCCGCTCCTCACCCCATAGGTTGGAACCGAACCACTCCGTCATGCGCATCGCAGTTCCTGCTCTGTGTGATCGGAGACTCACGGTTTTGCCGGGCGTTTGCTTGACATCTCTCCGAGAGCTAGCTCTAGCTAGCTACTGGAGTATGGTCATGGGTGCTCCACTAGCTAGATTAGATGATCTAGCTAGTGAGCAATATGCATACTGTATCTGTCAGTATACCGTACTGTAGGAGTATCGAAGCAGTTGCAGATCTCGCAAACTGGTTCATGCAAAACCACGGTGCGCCACTCCTATTTTCTTGTTGGAAAGGCGTCCCCTCTAGGTCGTTCATGTGCGTTACTCATCTTACTTAGGCTAGATTGTCACAAATACCCGCCATCCAGCGGGAAAACGTTGATTTGTTAGGAGATTGTCACGCCAGGATGTCACAAGGAGTTTGCCTGGCCACAACGACTCGATCACCCGCCACAAATTGATGGGCTCATTTATTCTCATCATTGGAGCTTCCATCAGTCGAGTAAAAGAACTGAACTCTCAGTTGGTAAGTAGTTAACATCCTCTCACACTAGTCCACCATGTCTCTCAACCCCAGGTCCAAACAGTGGTACGAGTTGTCTTCCCGCCGATACCACCGCTACGATGATGCCGGCGATCGGGAAAACCTGGGCATTCCCTCTATGATTGTCGTCCCTCAGAGGTCTGCCGCGTGACAAGCTCCATGGAACAGATTTACCGTGAAATGCCAGCATCTATCAATGAAGAAGGAGACGGAAGTTCCTCCAAACCTTGGCAGGTTGACTTGGCCCGAAAGACGTACACTCATTCGCGACGCTTTCGACGCACCAAGAGAGTGCAGCCTCCACCACCTCCGCTGGCACCTCCTACTCCGGCATCTCCACCACCTCCCGTGGCGACAATTTCCTTTCAGAAGGAAACACCCACCATGATGGAAAAGGCTTCTCCCGGACTTCATGTTCCCAGAACGAGTGGCCGATGTGATGGAGACGATGAATACCCTTCGGATGAAGAGTGTGGATTTGGAGGAGGCTGCGTCAGTCGCAGCAGCAGTAGCCCTAGCAGTAGCTACATGGGTGATGAAAGCCCTACCGGTATGCAAGGTTCCCGCCCTGCCCGATCCTACCTCTACTTCTACCGTCCTTCCTAAACAACTTCAACATCAGCAGCAGCAGCAGCGGCGGCGGCGGCAGCGGCAGCAGCAGTAGAGAACAGTCCAATGGGCCTGTAGACAACTCCCAGGGAAGAAACACCACCAATCACCACCGTTTAGATTCCAAAAGAGAAAGAAACGAAAGAATCATCTAGGATTCTCAAACCTCGAGGCACAATCCACATTCATTCCACACAACACAACAAGCTCCAAGCAGATAGATGCACACACACCCCACACAGTAACTTGCGCCGCCCTTTTTCGGCAGGCAGCATACCACTAAATAAACATCATTTCAATTTACTTAGTCAACCATATTACCAATCGCGTGTTGAAATGTCTCCTTTGGATTAGGCACCATCGGGTGGCTGTCATGTCGTTTCAATTCCTTCCGCTTTTTGTAGTTGAAGATGGAGCCGATTCGATTGAATCGAATCATTCACAGTGCCGCAAAGGCCGATTGTCGTTGCTGTACTCCCACAGCACTAGCCAACAAGGATTTTTTGGCGTAGCGATAGGCAACCGCCCATTGATCGGCTTCACTCGACGCATCGCCATGGTTGAGTCGAACCACATCCTCCTCCAAGGTGGTTGGATAGCTGGCCAGCATTGTAGCACAGGCTGTTCGGACCTCTTCTTGTGCATGCCCCCGGTATCCCTGACAATCCCGCCACGCTACAGTGACTGGTTCCTCCCCGACCATGACAGTGACACTGTCTCCGATGCAGCGATGGGGGACGAATCCATAGTGCAGTAAAAAGTCGTCCACGTTGCGGGCTCCATAATCCAACGTCACGGCTTGTCCGGCATCTACCCCTCGACTACCCGCCAACAAGTACACCGCATCCTGGTCGACGACAAAATGACCGCCACCTGCTTCGGAAGGAGCGTGATTGGCAATATCAATCAAGGGCACCAACTGGCGCGATCCATCCCGGCCTTTGAGGGTACGGGAACACACGAGATCGAGCCATTTCATGTACTCCACCACGGCAGCATGCTGTTGCTCGCGATTGCAGCAGTGTTGATTACATTGTCGTTTGCGCCATTCCGAGTTTTCCAGAATCATCGTGGACAATGTTTGGTTCTGTAGATTGTGTCGTTGTTCCGAATTCCATCGGCACGGTGTCAAGGGCGCGTCGGAGGGCAGTGTGGCCAAGTAGGGAGCCCAGCGAGATGATTGTCCAAGTTGCGATTCTTGCAATAGTCCGGACGCCAAAATTCCCGCCCACTGATCGTCCACATTGTGTTTTACATCATGCTCCAATCGCATCACGGCCGACAAGGGTACACGGGCTGCCACTTCCCCCGGTTCGATGCGTTCTGTGGCAATCAGACCGCGACCGCCTCCCGCCGTTGTGTCTTGATGGACTTGCACTTTTCGTTGGATACCATTGTCGTCCGCCCATTTGTGAAATGCTTCCAACTGCGATTCTTCGTTGTCACTTTTTGGGATGATGTTGCACTTGTTGGTTGTTGTGGTTGTGGGTTTGGAGACTGAAGGAGGGACCACGGTGGACAGCGACGCCACCAAGGGAACCGCCATGAGGATGCGACAAAGAAGCGAAGGAGATCGTCCCATTGTGCCGCAAAAGCTTCTATTTCTTCTTCTCAATTTCCTGTCTAACAGAGCGAGATTATGGATTTTGTGTTGTGATGTTTTGCACTGCATGTACATGGTGCTTTGGGTGGCTGAAAAGGGTTCTACATTACACATCATCACATTCATTTGGAAGTTGCAGTGCGTGTTTTTCGGAAGCAAAAAATGAGGTGGAAGAACTCCGAAGTGACGTCTGACTCTGGAATGACTTTTTCACATTTCACAAAATCAAAAATGACCCATGTAAAAACTACAAGCAGTGCGATGCCCTCCTCGTCTCTCGCGCAATTTTGTTGTTGTAACTATGACAATCCCTCTCTCTCCTACCGTCGCCGTTGCCATCATCTCTTCATTGCTCCTTCTCCTTTGTGGCTCGTCGAAGGCAGCAAACACAGGCAAAGCGACCTTTTATGGTGGCAGTGCCTCTGGCAATGCCTGCGGATACAACGCTTTGGCGACTGGTTCGTTTCCATACGGCTTTGCGGCCGCGGCAGGTTCAACCACGTTTAACGACGGCTATGGATGTGGTAGCTGCTATACGATAACTTGCAAAGGGCCCTACAACACCAACCCCTCTTGTTCTTGCCATCCAGACCACCCGACCGTGACGATTTGGGTGTGAGTATCATGCCAAAACAAAAAGTTTGGAGCGAAATTTTGGTGAACAAGTCTCCTTCTCACCATGGCCCTTTTTCTTGTTCTGTTCTGGCTGGACCGGAAACAACAAGTGCCCCGAATGTGCTGCCAATCATTTTGACTTGAACCCAGCGGCCATGGCGTACATTGTGGGTGATGGGTAAGCCTGAAACGGTCATGGGTGTCGCTGTTGGAATGTGTTTACAACAGCAGCTCAGAATGTCACATATACCATGTACTATACTTGAAACATCATGATAGATTGTCTGGTACTTGTGGAGTGATTAGCATTGAATACGAACAGGTCAACTGTGACTTTACCAGCAATATCAACATCAGGTCCAAGTCAGTTTTTGGTATGGGCTGCACCTGGATGACGTAGCCGGCTTTGGAGCAGTGGACAGTGTCACTCTGGAGGAAGAGGCAAATTCACACAGTTGTGACAAATCCAGTGGACCTTCCTTTTGGCTTTGCAATTTAATCAACAAACCGGCAACTGTCCCCATGGATGTCACATTGGTCGATCAAGGAGGAAGAAGTCTCTCTTGCACAGGGTGTATCGACAAGTTTGATCAAGACACGACCTTTGATTTCGGAAGCAACTATGCAGCGGCATCCATTCCCAGTGGGAGCTCTCCTGGAGGATCCACTCCGTCGCCACCCACAGACTCGGGGGATTCTTCCACTCCTCCCCCCGCATCAACGCCTTCTTCGTGTTTTTCTGCAACCACGACTGTGGACGTCAGGGACAAGGGAAAGGTTGCAATGAGGGATGTTCAAGTCAATGATTGGGTGGCTACCATGGCCCCTGAGGTCTATCAACCCGTCTATGCCATGGCACATTATGACCCCTTGGCTCTTGCTGAGTTTCTTCGAATCAGCACAAATAACGACGACAACACTGAAGCACTAGAAATCACCGGTGACCATTTCGTATTTTTGGAGGGCCAGGAATATCCGGTCAAGGCATCATCGATACGAGTGGGGATGGCATTGCAAACAACAAGGCATCTCAACAGCAGTGCGATCGTCACTGACATTACAACAATCTACCGACAGGGGCTTTATGCACCGCTCACGCCTCACGGTGCGATAGTGGTGGATGGGATTGCAGCCTCCAACTACGTGGCATTGCAGAGGAACAGCGAGTTTGTCCGAGTGGAGGGTCAAGATCTCCCTTTTCTTTCTCAAGACACAGTCTTGCACATGGCACTGAGCACACTGCGAATCTGGTGCACTTGGATCCAGGGGTGTCCTGCCATTGGCCCTCGCGGCTACCATCCCTTTGTTGACTGGGCCATTGAGTTGGTGCATTGGACAGAGCTTCAGAGTCCGACTGTCCAATGGGTTGTTTTCAGTCTCTGCTTGGTGGCAATGCTGGTGTTCTACGTTGTGGAGAAGGTGTGTTGGAACTTCATGTGTTTGGTGGCAATTGCATTTGCTGCGGCATGTTGTGTCTACAAACGGCAAAAGGCAATTCTGCTACCGAGAAGTCTTCTTGCTAAGGAATGATGGGCTGTTTTCGTACCTTCGGAACTTCGACTTGATATGTGAAAGGGAACGCAAATGATGGGGGTTCTACATTTCAGCTTCGTAGTGATAGATGCTTGAGGCACGTGATAATGCCTTGGCTCGTCCAGTATCTACCCAAGTTTCACAGCCGTTTTTTGCTTGGCAGTGGGTTTGACAAACTCGCTCTACAAGGTTTGGGAAGACTTTCAGTTGAAATGGCAAGCAGCTAGGTAGAGGAGCCGATCCTTGCTTGGCTGTTGGTGGATGAATTCTTCAGCACCTGTGACTTGGTTCGGAACATCATTGTTGCGAAAGGGAATGCCACTGATGAGGGATTCTACATCGTACAGCTTGTAGGCACGTGAATGATTGCCGTCCCATATCCACATGCAGTAGCCCAAATAGTACTTTTTGCGGGGGTTTGGCTTCACTACGTGTAGCTGCACGCTACCGTAGCTGGCTAGCTAGCTTGGTTCCAGAGGGCTACGAGGTGGTGGGAAGAGCTGTTTTGTCGTGGCGATGAGGTGTGCTCAATGAGAAGCGGGCGCGATGCCGAGGTTCTCAGGCGTCAACTTCGAACCAATCGTCGACATTAGCACGAAGCCTACCTTGAACAGGCTTTAATCACCCTTCGAAGGTGGATGGCGAAAGCTATCTTAGTGCCGCATCAACATGGGAAGATGGACGATGGTGTGAAGCAATGTGTCACCAACAAGCAGCGTGAGAACGCTCAAATCAAGAACATGCCATCGTCTTGGCCGGATCCAGTGGTACAAGTAGATGCGGAGGGAAACCAGCAAATGGTATCTTCGTGGAGAGATAGCTTTAGGCTCATATTTCGCAAACAAAATCTTCAGAACTCTTTTTCCACTTTATCCAACACCTACCGTAATCCAAGATGACCTTGTCTGATTTCCTTCGTCCCCAGGGTGGTCCTCGCCAGCAGCAGAAGACAAGCGACAAGACGGCCTCACCCAAGGTAACAGCGCAGATCGGTAAGAAGGCAGCTGGAGAACCTCGAGCTGAAGACACAACGGAACGATCCGATTGGTCCGATGTGGAATACGGTCCTGGTTGGGAGCAGGTCTTTGACCCCTCTCCCGCCAATGTGACCGAGCAGCAAATGAAGCAGACCTAAGAACCAGGATCTGGAGAGTCAAGGCTGCTGTCTAGCTGGATTGCTATATTAGCATCTGCATGGGCAGATGCAAAGCTACATGTATGTGTGAGTAACGTGCATACTATTGATGTAGAAGTAAGAACAGAAGTAAAACATATCATCCAAAGGTTGTAGTACATTGTAATTTGCATGAGCCTTTCAATTCTGAAACATTGTGGCTTGGTTTCTTGGACCATCATGTCAATTTTGTTTGCCTCGCTGCGTACAACCGCGTCTACGCCCATCTATACAACTAGTGGCCCTCGTGTAGAGAACCGGGCTGAGAGCTCCTTCTCCAAGATTCCTTGACAGTACTTTTGTCGAGCTTGATTCCGAGCCACATAGTAAGAACGTACGGTGTATGCATTATGCCCCAGAGCCAGGCATGCCGCCAAGGCATCCACCCACTTGAGGTACCGGCTGGAGATTGTCCAGTCAATTTCCAGAGCATACACTGTACCTGCTTCCAGGATTAGTGCCAAGAGGATAAAGAAAAACTCATTCAAGATACTTTGCATACGAATTTCATACCCAACACTGGGCAAATTCTTGTCAACTGACAGACGAATACCAATTTGATTGAAGGCAATGTTGAGAATGAGCAATCCTCGGTGGAAAAAGTGACTTGGGTCCAGGATCAAGGTAACGGCAGCTGCCACAACATTCAGAAAAGCAAGAAGCGGTACAATGTTCCGATCATAATAGCCACTCTCACGTATCACCATCAAGCTCACTCGGAGGTAGACATCTGGAATAGAGCAGAATGATCGACGGTCAAATGATTTGTCTTGTTGGCTGCAGAATTGAAACTGGAGACCAGCGCCATGATTACTGCTGCTGGCACTGCTTTCTTGGGTGTTATAGCTCTTCATGAGTGGTAAGATCCCCTCAGTATGCAACAGATGTGCCCGTTGTGGTTGGAGTCATCGGAAATGAAACCCAGGAATCCGGACATGGTCCACCACCAATCCATAGGGAATTTGCAGTGCCTTCCTTGACACTCGGACATCATCTTCGGTTGCCAAGCCCAATCTCCAAAAGCGACGATCCCATCGTTGTCCAGCCTTGCGATGAGACAGAATGGCCATCTCCAATGCAATGGTATGACAGTCATGTGGAAAGGCTGAAACATTGATGCGACCCTGAACCACAGTGGCACGGTACATGCAGGTCCACCTCACCAGACGACTCTCACAATCAAGCATGTCAATTTCAGGACTTCCAATAATGGTAAAGGTTGACACATTGAGAATGGAAATAGGAGGAATATCAATAGCTTCATCAGTGTTGTTCTTGTTATCCTCACTGCTGATATCCATTCGTTGTGGGACTGCCTTTTGTCGTCCCTTCATTTGGAAAGACGTCATGGAATGTGCATGTCTTTTGTTCTTCTTTGTGGTTTGGAGGGACTGCCTGGAGGTGATCCTGCAGGAACATCATTCCAAAACAAGGAGATTCGAAAGGTCATGGGCACAGTCCCTGAAGCCACATCCAACGTTCCAATGTTCCAGACAACCACCTGAAATCGTATTGTCTGAATATTCTGAGATGGCAAGTTCAGTGATACTTTGCGATTACTGCCGCCAGTTGGATGGAAGTAGTTTCCATTGGAGCCATAGCCTTTGCTACTACTTGTAATCCCAAAGATGTGATCCACTTCACCCAGCAACATTTCCACATCAGTATCATCCTTGTCGTCTTCTTCGTCATCGGTTTCAAAACTGGGGTAGCTGTTCGCTCGGTAAAATTGTCCCGATTCTTTGGGATCTTGTTCAATCCAGATGCGTTGTCCGTATTCCGTTGTCATGGTGGACGAATGTACAAGAGTAATGGAGAAATGGTGTGTGCTGTCAGTGGTCCATCATTCAAGCTCCGAGATGCTGGCCTCCATGTTCTCAGGAGGCATAGACCGCCATTGCCATGGCTGTAATCAGAACTGTGGAAAGGGCTTCAAATAGAAAGATCCAGATCTCAAATTCGATGTCTGGTCGAATTGATCAATTGTAGTTTCGATTCACAATCGGATTTCCTTAGTCGACCCATGACTGACCTCCCACCAAAGATGGCGTGAAAAGCGAAACCCTGAAGAAAAATGGCTAGAAACCCACAACGAAGGCATCAAACCAACCGACGATGACAAAAGCAAACCAAGAAAATTGCCAGCTAGCCAAAAAACTGGAGATGATAAGGAAAGGAGCTTCATAAACGAGAAACAACAAAGAAGTACCGTGCTACTTTCCTTCTTACCCTACAGTATATTGCAGAAGTAAAGACGATGATTAGTCACCGAGGGATTATGAGATTCCTATCTTCCGACAATCCACAACTCCTTTTGTGGCTGCTTGCAACAGTGGCGTCCATTCCCATGGTGCATGCCGCCGAGATTGTTCCCGGACTGAATCTCGTTCCGAACAGCGTTGCCTGCTGCCCGACAATTCCCCTGGTTGGCCCGGCCTGGAAGCTTGAGCTCACCAGAGCTGCACTACAAACGTCTGAGCATCAGGATGACTTCCAACCGTGCTCCTTCTATCCTGCTCTGAGCCGTCCAATGGTGGTCGCCTTTCAACCCAACGGAAATATCAATGGATGGGGAGACAACAATGCCTGCCAATCCTTTCAGGGGGCTTACCAACTAGTTGCGCAAGAAGATCATGGACCTTTCCATTTTGGGTTTCGATGGAACCGATGGAAGATGCAACCCTTCTCCTCCTGCACTTTGACAACCAACGAACATGCCTTTATGAGCGGTCGCAGTAGCACTAGCAATGCCGTCCAGTGTGAGCCAAGCGACATGGATCAGTTTTGGAGTCGCTTATCCAATGGTGTCACCACCTTGGTTCTGACTGGCCGTGCCAACATGGAATTACAAACACGAACGGGAGAAACACTGGTCCTGCTGGAAGCATTGGATGATTCTTATCTCTGCCAGGCCCTGCCGGGTCAAGATGAGGAGAATCCGGAAGTATGTGACCCCGATGTAAGCATTCCCCACTTGGGATTGACCGACAATATACTGCATGACTATCTGGCAATGGGAGACAAGGATGGGGAAGGAGAATTGAGAGAACAGATTAGCTCCCGACCACGCAGCAGTGGTGGTAGACATTGTGAGATGTCGTTGGTCGCCAAAACATTTTTGGTTGCTCTTGCCACTGCAACAACTATTCGGCACATCTTCTTATGGTAGTAGCAGCACGCCACGACAGCCTGCAACAACAAGATGAGCGATGCATGGCGAGCTTGTGTCAGTCTTCACGGCTTTCACTTGCTCGACTGTTTTAACTTAAGATGAATCGAGCGAGGAGGACGACGTCTTCGATATAAGGTACCTTCTCGCCAGTGTCCATCTTTCTGTTGGAGGTTCAGAGGTTGCCTGGCTAGAGATACTGTTGTCCGCCGCAGTAGCCGCAGAGCGAAGCACTAGGTACCTGAAGCAAGCTGACCAAGCCACACTGAAGTCCAATGTCTGCTTGTTCAGAAGTGAGCTCTCTGTGAAGAGGAGGAAGTCTCAGGTCGAGAGGTTCTACAGTTCCTGGGTTGTATCCTTTTATGAGCGAGTCATTTTACCGTAGCTAGTAGACACTATTATAGAGTAGCCGCCTAACTAGCTAGCCGGTAGAACGCGACGTTCTACAGGGTGATGGGTAGGCTTTAGTAGGCACAATGTCATGACAGCAAGGAGAAATCTAGAAATTTCCCTCTGGTGATTTTTTGCCTCAAAAAGGAAGGCGGTCCGGTCCGGTACGACTGTACAGTCGTAATAGCTGATGCTGGTACCAGTAGTCCACGTTATGGTGCTGTACCAGCAACAAGAACTCGCAACGACCCAGTGTATTGGGGCAGCCATTGCAATAAATCATATTTTCTCCCCGGTTATTCCTTGAACATCCTTGGAGTCTTCTACCTTAATGGAATGTGTGACTGGGCTGAGTGTGGGGTGTGCGAGGCTCAGTCAGCTGTCCAAACGTCCAAACGTGAGACTGCCTGCATGCTACTGTATTACAGTATTAGTACTGTTTCAATCCGTTTTTCTGTTTTACCCAGTGGCAACTTGATGGTTTGATGACGGAGATGTATCATCAATGGCAAGGCATGAAACCTTCCGAGTCGAGTCACTCGTCAGCGAAAATGACCTGTGGTAGCGATTTATGACTATCCAGTTACCAGATTACTAGAAATCAACCACAACAACCAAGTAGTAAACACACACAACACTATAGCAACCTCTTTATCAACACCATCAGCCTTTTTCGGCTTATCAGGCGTGGAAGCTACTACCCTACGATAGATAGAAGAACAAGCAAGCGATCGGTCGTTCGACAAGCACAAGCACAAGAGGAAGACTGCCGTTCGACGCTACCGTTCGGTCGTTCGAAGCGACGGCCGTATCCCGTCCGTTCGTTCGAACGCCATTGTCGAAGCTACCTTTCGGCCGTTCGAAGCTATCGTTCGAACGCCAGCGCCATTGTCGTTACGTTGTCGCGAGTGCTGAAGAACCGCGATCGCTGCGAGCGACGAGAAGAAGACGACGCGAACGCCATTGTCAAAGAAGATACCGTTCGTTCGAAGCGACGGCCATATCCCATTGTCGTTCGCTTGTCGTGAAGAAAGAAGAAGAAGAAGAAGTCGTTCGTTCATTCGAAGCAGCGCCATTGTCGCCGATTCGAAGCTACCGTTTCGGAGCTACAGAACGACAAGAAGAGATCCTCATTGCCAGTGTAATCGGCAGAGGAACAAGAGAAGAAGAGAAGACCT